ACTTTTGAAAAAGTGCAGTTTGATTTAGTCAAAGGTCTCATTTCGCAGTAGAAAAAACTAATTTGTTTTTTAATTTAACACGTCAATGAAGAAAAAACTTCTTTTCACTCATTCAATCATCTGGAGTAGAATTGAAAGCCATAGTATCTGATTTAGGAGAATCTACTACTTTGTGGAAACAGCTACAGATTTCGATTAATAGTTTTCAATTTCTGAATCCCGTACTGCACATGAAAAAAATATGGATTTTTGCAGATTTAGCGCACTGCCTCAAATTACTGAGAAACAATTTTTTAGATAAAGGATTTGTTTTGGGAGATGGAATTATTTTAAATGCTGATATTATTAAAGAGGTTTTAAAGAGGTTCAGGAGAAATTAAATTGTGTCACAAACTAAAACCGAATTATTTAATGGTCAAGGAAAATCGAGAGACAAAACATCGCTCCAAATTTTATAAAATATTAAATTTTATAAAATTTGGTGCGATATTTACGGAGAAATTCAACAATTCATCTTGGCGCATTTTTTTCAGTTTATTTTCCTTACCCTTCCGTTATGCCGGAATGGAAAAAAAGGCACCTCGTTCCTATCTTTTCACACTGTAGATAAGCGGGAAAAAAGTCACATCGTTCCTACTTTCAAATAATTTTAGCAAAGTGCTTAAACCACATTTTCGTCATTATCGCTTTCAACAAATACGCCAAATTTTAAAATGCGCCAATATATCAATTCACGTATATCTTCAAAAATTTTGAATAAAAAGCTCTAATTTTTGTAGGTATGTATAGAAACACATCTACTTTAAGACGACTGTAAAAATTTTATAGGTTATAATTCAAAATTTTTCGAAAAATTTAGAAAAATTATTTTAAAATAAATCTTAAAAAAAATGAAGGAATTTTACTTGGAATGAACCTAAATTTCGAACTGTGTAAGAAAGAATCAAATAAGTTTAATAAAAATAAGAGATATTAATGAATACATACCAAATTGAATTAACATTGAGGAACTCAAATTTTGAGAGCTAATTTTTAAAAACTACTCGAGGGATTTTTAGAAAACTTGGTAGTTTGGAGTAATTTGAGTCGTAGAATCGAAATATGGAAAAAAGTTGGTATGTTATTTGAGAAAAAGTCCGATTTTGTGTCAAAATACCTATGTTAGAACAATGCTATATATAAATCTAATACGTACCTTAAGTCGCGCTTTCGAGAAATGAAAAACGCAAGTTCAATTTTGTCAATCGGCACAGTAGAACGGGAGATATAGAACTGTCCCATTCTTTTTTCTGCAGTGTACACTCGATCTCACAGGAAATGAAAAACCATCTGACTTCTTTTGAATTAATGGATGATCTTTTCGATGTTATGAATAGTACCAAGGTATAACCTCCCTAAGATTAAAATACAGGGTGTTTATAAAGTTACGGACCCATTTTGATATTTAATAACTCATAAAATAATAGCGATAGATTAAAATTAATAACATAAATGGTTAGATAGACTCAAAAAGTTTCATGACCCTTGTCAATGAACTTCCACGTGTACCCCTTACGTCGCACGGAGAATATGAAGTCGATATTCAATTTCACGCCAGGTACCGGCAAGCATGTCGGCATCCAGAGGCTATTGCGGTTGTCATTCTGGCTTTTAGGTCAGCAATGTTCGACACTGTTCTCCTGTAAACTCTTTCTTTTACAAATCCCCAAAAGAAAAAGTCCAGCGGCGTTGTATCAGGGGACCTGGGTGGCCAAGGAATTGGACCTCCTCGCCCAATCCATCTTCCTGTAAAATTGTCATTCAAAAAACACGAACGATGGTTCTCCAATGAGGTGGTGCACCATCTTGTTGCAAAAAGACATGTGTCTGAAGCTCTTCTAGTTGTGGACTGTAAAAAAGAAAGGTCCAATGACTCGGTCGCGCATTAGTCCACACCACACATTAACCTTTCGGGAATCCTTTTGTGCCTCTCGGTATTCATGGGGGTTTTCGGATCCCCATATGCGCACATTATGGCGATTAACAATGCCAGAAAGATAACAAAAACATAAGAGAGAAAAATGCAATTAATAAGCAGACGATATTTAGAAAAGTACAGATATTTAGACTGGAAAATGAAATTATCTGAAATTAACCATACGCGCAGACGATATTTACAAACGTAAAGATATTCAAACCTGAAAAGGAAAATATATAATTTATTCCATCAATAAATGTCATAAGTTTGTTTATATCTTCATTATTTTATGAGTTATTAAACATCAAAATGGGTCCGGAACTTTATAAACACTCTGTACTTAAAGTAGAATTCAGTTTAATTAGATTAAATGAACATCATGAGAAACAAATTCAAGTTTTGAAATTATTTAAGAAAGTCATTAATGTAATAAAAGTTCAGAGAAAACCTAACATACTGCCCTTACAAAAAAGAATAATAATTTCTGTTTTTAGCCTACACCAGGATTTGAAATCATCGTATGACGCTAAATATATTTTAACCTTTAGATGGACTCAGGATGCAGTTGAAAGTCTCTTTAGCCAGATTTGAGGTCTTGGCAGGTTTAATGGCCAACCATCGCCTAGTGAAGTTATACCCCGCTTAAAGCAATTATTACTCGTTAATAAGCTACCAAAATTATCTTCAAAGAAACACGAAGTATTTATTCAATTTTAACTTCAGAATAACTTCAAAGGGCCATAGTCGCACGCATTCCCGAGTCACTACTTTACATCTCTAAAGGCTGTAGCCAGGAAAATGCATCTAAGCAATCAACCAAAATAAAACTAAATACAAGCCATGTGATAATAACAGCAGTCCCTATTTTGAAATTGGGAATTACAAATTTAAATATTTAGGATCAGAATTTAATACTCTCAATGATTTAATGCCCGAGATCCGTAGCAGAGTCACAGATGCTAACCGATGTTTTTTCGGTCTCAAAAAATAATTGAAGTCTAACTTCACTAGCAGAAAAACGAAGATTTTAATTTACAAAAGCTTAATCAGATCCATTCTTATATACTTTGCTGAGACTTGGGCAGTGACAGAAAAAGCTAAAAGTATCATTTCTGCCTTTGAAAGAAAAATTTGGAGAAGTATTTTTGGTGGCATAAAATGTAACAATATCTGGAGAAGAAGAAATAACTCTGAACTCTATAAATCCTTTAAAAAAATAGATATAGTAAAATATATAAGGATTCAGAGAATTAAATGGGCAGAACACCTGTGCAGAATGGATGAAAATCGAGTAACTAAAAAGATCTTCTCGGCGAGACCATTCCGCACCCGAAAAACAGGGAGACCTAAACTTAGGTGGCTCGACTGTTTGGAAACAGACTTAACCCCTTAACCTACGATTTAGATTCGAAGATGTTGGGCAGAAATTGTATACGAGGTCGCGCAGCGTTCGGGACATTTGCACGACTTGTGTAACACACTAATCCGGGCAATCGTAAACATGACGAATTATGTAATTTTCGAAGAAAGTATAGGCGAATAATTATTGATGATACATCCAATGACGATCAACTATCAGAGTCCTGGCTTTGGAAAGAAATAAGAAATAGTCCAGAAATCTGGGACTATACGATGACTTCTGGCATAAGAGAGGAAGCCTTATGTCAATCAGGAGGAAATAGAGGAGAATTTGATACATTTAATCTAATATTTGATGACATATTTTGGAACATATTGTAACCGAAACGAATCAGTATGCAGATCGAGTACGAGAAAATCCACATAGAACACGAGTGTAAAAAGTGTAAAGTTCCGTTCCATGTACCAGAATGCTTTGAAATATATCATACCGTTACAGAGTACTAATTTTGTATTTTGGAGTTTTGTACAAATAAAAATTTTATAATACTTGCGTCTACCACAATTATTGCATCAGACTGTAATTGCGTATCAAATATTCCACGTAATATTCACTTCTGGCCCGATCACCGTACGCGGGCTATGCCCGTGAAAATTATGTTTGGCCCGACCATCGTACGCGGGCTATGCCCGTCACTGTAGATTAAGGAGTTAAGAATTTTAAAAATAACCAATTGGATGTTCATGGCCAGGAATAGAAGAGCTTGGAATTTGATTCTGAGGAAGGCAACCTGGGCTGTCTTGACCACTGAAGAAGAAAAAGAAGAACTTTAAGTAAGGGCTTTGAAAACTGAGGAGGAAGTTTTATGATGAAATAAAAACAGCATTGCCAAAATTAAATATATTGGTCCCTATTCAAAAAATTTATGTGAAGCCATTTCGACTATTCTCATCTTCGTACGACTTTAATCAACCGAGATAATAATTAAAAACTCTGAAAATACTCATTTTCGCACTCATTTCTCCGAGTGGCAACAGTCTCGCGCGTTGGAGATAAAAATGCTTTATTTCGAAAAATGTTGCTACTGGTCGCTTTCGAATCGTAGAATTTGTTATTCAAAAATTTTTAAGTTTTACAAAATCTCCACATATAAAGAAAAATGCCTGTTTGTTTGTTTGTTCGCGTTACGGATTTCTGATCAAATTATGATCCATTTTTTGCCACTTAATCCACTAAAATTGAATATACGTTTAATATTGGATGAAACTTTAGATTTTATGACCAATTGATGAAAAAGACGAAAATCGTTAAAACCTGCGTGCCATTGTTGCTGATATAATGAGAGAGAATTAGTTTGTTTTTTATGTGGGTTCCATATCGCATCAGAGTGAAAAATGTACGACTATGAATCGTATTTTTTGCATCGTTATTAAAGAAGGATTGCAGAGGTATCGTTCTCTCTGTTGCTAGATACATTACTCTCAATCTAACGAACAAGCATCGGGTAGTTCCGCTAGTATATATGTATCAACATATAAAAATTAAATAATTAGATAAAAAAAAGTTTAGTGTTAACAGTCTAACAGGAAGAAAATACACAAGGTTGGAGGGAAAACAAAATAATAATTCAATATTATATCACAGCAAACTGCCTGAGTGCAAAAATGAAAAAGCAAAAATTACTTTAATGAGATCCATGCTTCCGTTTACTTGATATAACAAGCCGTCTTTGGGATATGGTTTAAGAGCTCTTTTGATATCCAACCGCAGTTTCAGTGGCTCTAGTATGGGTTCTCGAATTTCCATTCGGCTATCCAGAAGGATCACGGCCCTGTAGAAAACAAAATCTGATGTGTACACCACATGACTTCCTTGTAAAGAACATTAAATTACACACATTCTTTCTTGCATTTCATTTAAACATAGTGGACTGAATTAAATCCACTGCATCGATAGCGCATTAACCACAATAGAATCAATGCACTCTAAAATTCACTATATTTATTTACCGTATCGAAACTCTGGCGCTAGTTTCACTTAACATTTCATTCATTAATTAACTCAGAATGCAAAAATATTATATCATCTGAAGAAATATCTAATCGTTGCCACACGATCTATTCAAATACTATAATAAATCTACAATGATGTATAAAAGAAATTAAACAAATAAAAAAGAGAGAGAGAAACAGTTTTTCACGGAGGATTCAGTATTTCTCATTAAAATAATTCAGTTTTCACTTCGCGACAAGGACAAAATACATAAAAACTCAAAATATCTATATTAAAAATTGCGAAGTAAATCTTAAACACTTATTTCCTCGAATAAATTTCAGATTGGATTCAGCATGATTTAATTCGCAGTAATAAAAGAAGACGTTATTTTTGTTGTTGCGAAGCTTAGTTTCTCTGGATTTTTTAGAAGAATTTTAGATTTTCTGGAAGCGCCATTTTGCGTCAGAAGAAGCTCGTCTCTTCTTCGTTGTTATACATCTCGCTGCTGCTTGATCTACCTTTCCTTTGTTAGAAATAGTAATGACGCATAATGTTTAACTTTAGTCGTAATTGGTTTAAACTACTAATGAATATGTGACTTAGAGAATTTCATATGAAGTAAAGCATGATCTACGTTAAAAATTGAATTAAAGCTATGCAATAAAGATGTACCATTAAAATCTAAATCAACTTCCCTCTTCATTTGGATTAGCCTTACCACTCAGAAAAAACCATGACTGAACTTTGATGCCGAAATATCACAGTCATTTAATAGTAGTTTAAACCAATTACGACTGATGAAAGTTAAACTTTATGCGTCATTACTATTTCTAACAAAGGAAAGATAGATCAAGCAGCAGCGAGATGTATAGCACAGGAGAAGCGAGCTTCTTCTGACGCAAAATGGCGCGCCTTCTTTATTTATAGTAGCGGTTACGTAATAGGCTAGCGAATTCTAGAAGGTACTGGTCTAGGGGAAGATCCTGAATTGCAGAAAGTTAATGAAAGGTTGCGTGTTCGCGAAAAGCAAAACCATCGTATTTTTTTATATTTTACATACTCAGATGTAATATATTCAGACTCAGAAGCCATGACCAGGAGCAGGAGGAGAATGATTAGGAAATTGGGAGGCGAATGCAGATTAAGTCTTCAGTTTTATTTTCAGAAAATTCTTACGGCTACATACAAGTCGGCACATTAAATGTGCCTGTTCTAAAAGGTTTTATTTGTGATATTTTGTGACAATAAGAACCTTCCCTGAAGAATTATGATTATGTGAACTCTCAAACAAAGACTTTTGGGCTGAAATGCTGAAAAATTCAATAGGACTCTAAAATTAAGAATTTATTTTAAAAAATTGATATTTATAAATGATACTTTATAGGATTTTTTTTTTTTTTTTTTTTTTTTTTTTTTTGCTAGTGCTTTAACGCTTTTTCTTTAAAAAGGTTTCTCTGTCGCTACGCCTTTTTCTTTTTGAAGGGGGGGATATGTAAGAAAAATTATATTTAAAAGATTAAATTAGCAGCGTAAATTAATTTCCCTCCTCTATTCCAAAAATAGCTACATCTATTGGCACTGCGTCATTTCGAGAAAATCTATGTCAAATGATTCTTACGTAATTCTGGTGATGTAAACGGAACTAACACTCTTAACAGCCAATAATAATTTGACAGCAATATTAACCATCCAATCAGAATGCTTTGAGAACCAAAACTGACTTGAGATTTCATCCTGAACATAACGCGTTTGCTTTCCACGTTCTGGCTTAGCTACACTGCTGTCTGTCTGCTCTGCTTTCTTGCTACAAAATTATCAAAAATATAAGCCTTTTGGAACAGGCACATTTAATGTGCCAACTTGTGTGTAGCCGTAACAATTTGCTGAAAATAAAACTGAAGACTTAATCTGCATTTGCCTTCCAATTTCCAAGTCATTCTCCTCCTGCTCCTGGTCATGGCTTCCGAGTCTGAATATAATACATATATAATCTGTAGCACTACGTGCAAAGTTGTCAGTGTAACAAACCTCGCTACTGTTGTACAGTAGAACATATGAACTTCTGTCTGAAACTGGAGTAGCAGGAAACTACACAAGAGAAGGGTTTAAAGTACCCTTTATTAAATCTTTGAAAATTTACAATGCGTCAACTCGACGCTAACAAACTTCGCCTCTGCTTGGGCGGTAATTGAAAATCAGATAATGAAACTTAAAGTTGAAGATATTAACAAGTGACAGAACTACCTACAGGGCTCAGCGAGATCCCGTAACTTAAACCTTCTTCGAAAACCAGTGGCAGCAAGTAAATGCATTTAAGCCACTTGAACGAGGAATAAGCAAATGTATCTGCGGCAGAGGTAGCGGCCAAAGCCTAACTCTCTTTTCTCCTATCGACACTCAGCTTTTAAATACTTCCTTGAAATTTGCATTCCTTCAAGCGCGCTACAACATTTAACGATTCTGGCACTGAAAATTAGGGGAATGAAGGCTTACAAAAAAGTTTCAACTTTTTTCAATTTGTTAGTTACAATAATATAAATCCCTACACTGTAATTATTTGTTTCTGCTATCTAAATATAGATTTTCCTTCCACTGATCGGACATTATTCCGTTTGGCCGCTCTCTTAGGTTGGAAGGAAGCCCGCTCAACGGTTAAACTAAAATCAAAAATGAAAAAATGAAAATCTGAAAGGTTTCAGATTTTAAATTACGCCCAAAGGGGAGCTTTTTTAACGTTTTGTGTGTTACCTTTTCTTATTAAATATCATGTTCTTCGCACTTAAACCATAAAATTCAGTTCAACAGCAATAGCGGAAAATTATTTTAAAATGAGCGTATCTTTAGAATTTCTGATACAGTCTCACGCGCTGGAGAAAAAATGTTTTTTTTCTGTACAACGTTGCCATGACTCGCTTTGAAATCGTTCAGCTTCTGAATAAAAAATTCGTTAAAGTTTTATAAAATACGAAATGGATACTGAAACAAATTCCAAATTTCAATTTTGGGCTTCCAGATGACCATATTCGCAGGAGGATTACGTTATTCAATATTTAATGGCTCTAGGTACCCCTGTTTTATCCCAATGCGAGAAACATACATACATTGATGCAGATTCTTCGTTATTTTATTTCTTTAAATATAACACAGGGCTCTAATATCTGGTGGCAACAATTTAAAAAGCGCTTCGCTGTTTATAGTGAATCACCGCAAAATGCCAAAACGAAATTAATAGCCCTTCTGGGCAAATTCCCCCTTTGGGCTAGTAAATTTTTTAAACTGAAGTAACGTCGACAAATAAGTTTAAAATGCATTATAAAAACTGCCAAGTTACAGAGGAACGGTTTAAGGGATTATGCCATCAAGCATCTTGACTTCAAGTTCAGCCAAACGTTTAAAAATAGGCAAAATAGAATCCGTAGTTTTATGTAGATTTTCAATAACCTCGATTTTGAGCGGAGCAACGAAAAATTCTGCAGAATATTTTTGCCTGAACATATCTATGTACAACTAAGGTTACTATTTTGCCTAATTTAAAATTTTACCATTGGCATGTTCTTTTCCAATCAGGGATGGCCTCCAAGTACTGAGATTAGGAGTAGCATCGATCAAACGACATCCTGAAATGTTATGAATCATTCATAAATAAACTTTTTCATTAACTATTTCAATCTAAATTTATTTGTTTGTTCCAACTGATTTCCTTTTTTATCTTCTCTTTTAAAATGTGATAACTCCAGGGGCCTGGGACAGATATGGACCACTGCGTTGTAATGGCGGGGCATATGTGCCCCATTATTATTAAATTGTTGATACATAAAAGAAAAAAAAAACTATTTTTATTTTCATAACTTATGAGTGATAAGAAGTAAAACATTTTTTGCCTAGTGGGTAGATTACATGCCACATAAAATGTTAGACGAAAGGGGCAATTTGCCCAGAAGGACTGTTAATTTCGTTTTGGCATTTTGCGTTCTTTCACTTTTCAAATTGTTGCCAACGAAAATTATCACCCTGTGTTACGTTTAAAGAAAATAAATAATGAAGAATCTGCATAAATGTATGTATGTTTCCTGCATTGTGATAAAACGACGTTACCTAGAGCCATCTAATTCTGAATAAAGTAAACCTCCTGCGAATATGGGAATCTGGAAGCCGAAATTTGTAATTTGTTTTATTATCGATTTCATCTTTTGTAAAATTTTAACGAATTTTTGATTAACAATCTCAAGGTTTTTAAAGCGAGCTATCGCAACGTTGTACAGAAAAGACATTTTTATCTCTAGCGCGCGAGACTGTGTATCGGAAATTCTAAAGATAGGCTCATTTTACAGTTGTTTTGCGATATTGCTGTTGAACTGAATTTTATGATTTAAGTGTGAAGAACATGATATTTAATAAATAAAGGTAACACACAAAATGTTGAAAAAACCCCCCTTTGGACGTAATTTAAAATACGAAACCTTTCGCATTTTTTATTTATTTATTTATTTAGTTCTTTTCTCTTGTTTTTTCTTGGTACAACTGTGACACGTTCTTCTAAGTGGACGCTTCGATTTGTAAGTGATCTCCTATATTCAACAACTTGGAACTAGATGATATTATACTGTAGTGGTATGGTACCATATTCTAGTGGTGGTCCACCATATGGTAGTGGTAGTGTATGTCTACCATATAATAACCATATACCTTTAGGGTTCTTTAAATATCTACTGGGACTTATATAACCCATTGGAAGTGAAAAGGTTAAAGACATTATGAGAAGTTTTGTAGTTACCTAACTGAAATGCTCTGTATGTGTCTTTTTATGTTTCTGGCTGTATTTATATTAAATTAGTACCGATTCCATTCGCGTTTTAGTGTTTTGAAAGATACTGTTTCTCATCGTTAAGGTTGCCTTTCGATTAATGTTAACTAAATGATCGTGGACAAACGTGATCGTATTAAGCAAGATCTACTGTACTTCGAGAAGAACATGCCCAAAATATTAATTTATTTAATCGACCGCTATAAGAAATAAATCCTTTTAAAAAAATAGCCACAAGAATAGATTAAATTTTGTTTCACACTGCGGCTGTCCAAACTGCACGTCTCTTAAAGATTTCATGTACAATGACAATAACTAAATCAAAATAACATCATATCTCTCCATGTTCTGTTTTATAAAATTCAAATACTTAGGTCTTATCCACCATCGTCTTCACTTACGCTCATAGGAGCAGAAGTGGATGGTGTAATTGTTAATTCCGAAAATTTCCCGTGGCACCGATGACTCTACGTCTGCCTTGTAACTAAAGATGCCAGCACCCTAATGAAATCAGGCGATTATTCGCTATCCTGAAGGTACCCCAAAATAAAAATGCCGGCACCTCGACGAAATGTGCTCTTTCAAAGTTGAAAATTAATCTTCATAAATGTGTCGGTACATATATGAGAGGGTCTCCCCAAGACTGTCGTTATAAAAGACCCCAAGACTGTTCTGCTATAAAGGCACCAGCACTTCGAAACCAGTTGCTTTCTTCAAGTCCCAAATTAAATTTTATGGTACTGGCTTCATAAGGGTGATGGCATCCTTTTGATGGAGATTTTGCCAAGACAGAACCTATCATAAAATCATGGCATATTGATGGAAATTACATTCTACAAATTCTAAACTGAAATGAAAAGGGCGCAGGCATTTTTATGCATATCGGTGACTATTCACTAAAATAAATTATTACTAGAAGAAATCATGGCATTTTGATGAAAATTACATTCTACAAATTCTAAACTGAACTGACAAGGGCGCAGGCATCTTTATGCATATCGATGACTATTCACTAAAATAAAGACTAGGCCAGTCCCGGCATCTTGATGAAGGGTGCATTCTTCCTGGAGTAAACTCAATTTTATAAGGGTGCCGGGCAGCTCTTATGTCTTGACGAAGAATCGCTAGCTTGAAAAAGTTTCCAATACCTTTATTGAAGCCGTCGACTCTTTACTTAAATCTTCAAAGAAATGCCCTGGATTTTCTACGAGGGCTACATTTCTGGTGGCGAAGGATTGAGCGCAACCAAGGAAGACCACTGGCCTGGCCTTAGTCTCCCAGTGTGTTATCTTCCTCGTAGAAACCATCTACGCTCTACTCCACCCTGCCCCGGGAACGCAACCGACGGTTAAGACACAACCGACAGCAATTTAGACGGCTAAGAGCCTCTTAAAGTCTACATGTTAGCTTGGATATTGTTGTTCGGGGAAAGAGTATCCTGTCAGGAACTACTTTAAATCTAAGCAAAGAAGCACAAAAGACTCTAAGAATTTCTGATGGTATAAATTGAAATTCCCGTGGTTCACTCACACTTTTATCAAAGTCGATGACTATTCACTTACATCTTCACAGGAGAGTTCAGGCACCTTGATAAAAGTTGCATTCATCAAAATCAAAATAGAACTTCATAGATGCCAGGCAATCCTTATGCCTCGACAAACAGCGTTTATTCTACTGAACATTTACAAAACTGGGCATAATTTGAGTCGTAGAATCAAAATATGGGGAAAAAAATGGCTTACCATTTCAAAAAAGGGTTAATCTTCAAATTATGGTAACTTGGCGATTTTTTGGCGAAAATTCGGCGACCAACCCTGCAAGTTTTTTTTTTAGACGCAATTTTGTTTTCACGAAGTAAAGGCTTTTTTTTTTTTTTAACTCAACATTTTTTCCAACAATCTGCTAGCCGAATTACGCTTATGCTAGAACTTTTATGGAAGAAAAGTGTTTAATCATGACGAAGATTAGGTGCGAAATTGGGAGAATGTGTAGAATCGCCCACTGCTTTTTAAGAATTAAAAATTTTAAGAATTTTAAGAATTGCACATACGATTTTAAGAATTGCACATACGCGGTATCCATGTACACGTCGACCTATTTTCGCCTAAAAAACATCGCAGAATTGCACAAAAATGGCATTGCGCACACTCTCGACTTTATCCATGTACACTGTTAAAGTCCTAGCTAGTAACCTTTATCGCTTACCAAAATGTCGTCAACTACCTGTTACCATATTCCAAAGATTAGCCAAAAAAGTCCGATTTTGTGTAAAAATCCCTATGTTAGAACAATGCTATATATAAATCTAATATATATTTGAAAGTCGCGCTTTCGAAACATTAAAAACACAAGGTGAATTTCGTCAATCGATCCAGGAGAACGGGAGATACAGAACTGTCCTTTTTTTTTCGCAGTGTAGCTTGGCGAACATTAGTCACCTTGCATAAAGATGCCAGCACACTTGTGGAAATTGGCTGCGCAGGACAGATCATACCTGTCAGCCCCTGCCTCGGAAAAGGAAACTAAAATCTTGAAACTACTAACCTGGCTAGCTGGAGAGCATGCAGCCGTACTAAAAGATTATCCATGCAGTAATCTTGCTCTTCTTGGAAGAAGTTTTCGACGCTCAGTTCCCCTAACTGAAGAATGAGTGCATTGGGAGAAGTTGCCTTTTGAGGGAACAGAACCGTTGGAGCCTGAATTTCGACGGATACTTGGTAGCGGAGGCCACTCTGTTGAAGTTCGGACACCTAGAAAGGGAAATAAAGATGCAATGGAACATCGAGATACGATAATTTTTTATACACGAGAAATTCGAGATACGAGGAAAGTATGAGCGAAAAATTTAAAATACGAGCACTGACTCGAGTAACGAGCAACCAGCCAGTCTGTTGGTATGAGTGGCGCCATTTTCCCATCCGCCTCGACTCGGGGAATCCCCTCGTCAGATCACTAAGTGTTCTTTAATTTACGTGTTTGTGCGCTTGTGAGTTAAGTGTTTTTTACATTTAACGTGTAAATAATTATTTTAAGATGCCTCCCAAGAAGGTTGTTGCCTCAGATAGTGCTGCAAAGAAAAAGAAGGAAGCCGTGACTGTTAAAATTAAGAAAGAAATCATAGATAAACATAAGCCTGGCGAAAGAGTGACAGAATAGGCGAAGACTTACGGCCGTTCGACATCGACGATTTGCTTCTGGAGCAGAAGGAAGAAACTAAGAAACTTAACGTGGTCAAAGGAGTTACCGTTACTGCCAAGCGCCGCCTAAAACTCCTAGAAGATGTTGAGAAGCTGTTGTTGGAGTGGGTTAACGAGAAAGAAGTTAAAAGGCGATTAGATATCGGAAGCTAGGATAGAGGTAAACTACGATTATACTTGTACTAGTTATCAGTGTTATTTATCGGAAAATTTGATTTTTAAGTTGATATTTTTTTCGGGGGGGGGGGGAACGGAACGGTTCTAACTGGATTTCTATTCTTTTCGATGGCGAAGTTTTTTTCTAGATACGAGAAATTTGCTCAATCCTGGAATGAATTAAACTCGTATCTCGAGGTTTCACTGTACATCGAAAAGAAATACGAAGAGGTATTAAAGAAATATTAAATGGGTAACATGTGTTTCTGAGCTACCTAATTTTTACTGCAACTGTTTTTACTACTACTGTTTTTTACCTATTACTGTTTTGATGAAGATATTAAGTAACTACAATCGAACGTCGCTATAACGAGTTTCAAATAATAGCACAGGACAGGACTAAGTGTGGGAAGCACCAACACATCGCCATTGCAGAACTGGTGTCACTCCTTCACACTAACCATCTTGAGAAGAACACTTCCACAGGGCGTACTTACGCCACGCATCGGTGTTAATTGAAAAGTTATCATTAGGGCATAGAGAACTTGTGGTACAGAGCATGGTCGGGAGATACAGTTGCTGATGACAATGACATTACAATACAGTACCATACATTACAGTTGATGATGAAATATAAATATAAGTACACAAATAAACAAATAGAATTGAATGGAAAAATACTAAACATTATTATCTTGGTTAAGTTATTGTGATATTAATGTGATGTTTTTGGGACAGTGTAGCAAATCGTAGATGGTTCACAGTTCATTGACAGTTCATGAAAAAATCATGGATTGAGTCAGAGTTCATACATACAGTAGAGTTCACTAGTTCGGTTATGCCATTTTTTATGTGCAAAACTGTGGTCGTATTTTATGTGCAAAACTGTGGTATTGTCTACGTGCTAAACCAGTACTGACCTTGATGCACTAAGATAATCTATTGCAATAACTATAAAGGCACCCCCATTGGAAAACTGGCGTTTATAACAGTTATGAGCTTCAAATAATAGGAAGTTTGCTTCGATGTATCCGTTCCAGCAAGAAAAATCGAGTATCTCCTCCAAACGTCTAAAAATTGAATGAAAAATTTGGCGCGTACACTCATACACGCACAAAAGAAGGGAGAAGAAACAAAATTGCTTCACATTGTCATATCCACTAAAAGAAGTGAATAATAAAATCTTACTTTAAAAAACTCACATTAAGATTTAAATACAATACCAATATACACAGTTCGTCATTCTCTGTTGTTCGTTCTTTTCCACTTTCACTGCACGTTAATAATTTTACACGATAAATTATTTAAATGAAATAATATGATTCTGATTCAATTCCGCGAATATGAAAATGAATAACAAAAATTATTGATGAATTTACTTTTAACTTTAATTTGTGTGTTCACATACAATCTGTAATTTTCTGCTGGTGAAATTCGGAATGCGGAAAATTTTTATCCATGGCTGCAAAGCTAAGATTCAATAAACTTTATAAAGAATATTTTATACCTTGCAAAATATCCGAAGACCGCAAAATTCACTTTTCGAAGGATACAGCTTGCAGAGCATTTATGCTCTAACAAAACAAACAATTAAGGATAAAAAAGCGTTTCATTCCCTAACAGAAGAATAAACTGTAAAGACGAAAGTTTATAAAATTAAAAAAATATATATATGATTAAGGTTTAGATTAAGATCATATTAAGATTTAAATAAAATTATCAATATACACAGTTATTAAATTTATCGTTTATTCTTTTCCAATTTTGCTATATGTTAATAATTTTACCAAATTTCGCATTGGTTCACTATAGTGTCGGTTCATTACTTTCTCTTTCTCTTATAAAGGTATTTCTCCCACCTCCTTAGTATGTCTTCGTGCTGTAGTGGTCAACACATTCGGCGCGTATTCGAGAGGTCCGTGGTTCGAGTCCCGGCGAGGGCATTACTCATTTTTCATCGCTCTTGTTTTAGAAAGAAAGTAATGTCTCTACAGTGGCGACCGAACTAAAAACGGTGGGAGATGATGATTCTCCACCACCAGGATTTGGCGATTACGTCCCCTAATCCCCAGTCGCCCTTTAAAAGGGGGAGTATATAAGATATTCCTCCCGCCTTCGTAGTGTAGTGGGCAGCTTGCTCAGCGCGTATTGAGAGGTCCGAGTTTCGAGTCCCGGCACATTTTTTCACGACTCCTGCTTCAAAATACCTAACGTCTCTACAGAGTTATTCCTGCTGTCGAACAACAATCGAAGAAAGAATTTTTTTTGGGCTGCCGAAAAACAAATCCATGATAGGTTTCTGCTGTCCCCAAGGAAGGTGAGAACTTGAAGGAATTCATAGCGACACCCGGAAACAATTCTGACGGCTTTAAATTAGCTGCCGAAAAACAAATCCATGATAGGTTTCTGCTGTCTCCAAGGAAGGTGAGAACTTGAAGGAATTCATAGTGACAGCCGGAAACAATTCTGACGGCTTTAAATTAGTTGCAGAACAACAAATCCATGATAGGTTTCTTCTGTCTTCAAGGAAGGTGAGAACTTGAAGGAATTCATAGTGACAGCCGGAAACAATTCTGACGGCATTAAATTATTACCTATGTCTTCTCGATCTAAAGCTTCAAAGCTATCCAAGTGTGATGGAAAGACCTCATAGCAAGTGTGCAAAACTCATTTCTCTATAGTTGCAGAATCAAATGGATGGGATTTCGAAACTAAGGCCTGCCATATAGCCGCTTCTGTGAGAGCAAAAGCTGCGGATCGTTCAAATTCTGCTAAAAACGAAAGCAGCTCTATCGGCGGGCTATACCTGAACTTTGGAAAGAAGTGTTTAAAAGACCATAAAGCAGGCTTTACTTAAAATGCAACAAAAGCTTACGGAAACACTGAAGGAGCTGAGTGATGAAAGTCTATCTAATCTCGCCTTGTCGGATTGTCACAGCCGAAAGAAGGGGAATCCTGCCCCAGCAATACTTCGTCGAGGGTATCTATGACCCTTAGATAGAGAAAGCCTTACCAATGGCTGATATCTAGGATCTAAAAAGCGCTTTAGTGTACGCCATGAAATTTGAAGCAGCCCAACAAGCAATCCACAGACACCCAATCAGAACTGCTATGTCTATGAGCCAATGGATCAAATGACTTAAATGACTCTCATCATGTTCTACTCTCATCTGATTGTCTGGAGGACGTAACCAGGCAACTCAGTTCCTCAAGACGGAATATAAGTGGCAACAAACCGGTTCTAAAGTACTGGAATTGCGGTAGAGGGAATCGCAGAACAGCCTAAGACGCTGGAATTAAGACAGCTCCCAGAACAATCGGGGAAACTAGCCACAAGCCAATTCGAGTGGCAGAGGTTGAAAAATACTGATAAGCCCAATTTTAAAACTCTTCAGATTCTTGCCGCTCAGACGGTATAGTTGTTAGGACAGCCTGATAGCTATACCGAAGGGCCCGGGTTTGAATCCTGGAGAAGGCATAGACGTAAAATTGTCCGTTCCTTCATAGGAGGTAACGATGGCCGCCTATTAGGTAACTCCACAATAAAATGGCCACTACTCCTGACCTTAGAAGTGGCCAATGCCATTATGGGCAAGTGCCCGCCATTGGAAAAAGTAATTTGAAATTAGTAGCAGCAGAATAGAAGAGATAGAACACCAGAGACGAACCCCGCAATGGTACTATGCTTTCCGAGAATTGCGTCCGTACTCAAAGATTTTTTTTTTATGTCGTAAAATGCTTTTATGTTAAAATATTGTATCAATTAAAAATAATTTATTTTAAAAAGCAGTTTATTTAGGCTTAAATAGAAGTTGGCATCTAGCAATCTTATTTACACGTGGTCTTTCCTTTTTAAGGTTGCACAGACGCCGGTATAACGAGAAAGAGCTAAGGGAAGTGAAAAAAAGAAAGAAAAAAAATTAAATAATTTAAAATCTGAAAGGTTTCAGATTTTAAATTATTTAATTTTATTATTAAAACTCATTTCAAGAGCAATATCACGAAATAGTTTTAAATTGAACCTATCCTTTAGAATTTCCGATACAGAATCTCGCGCGTTGGAGATATTTTTTTTTTTTTTTTTTGTTTTTTTTTTTTTTTTTTTTTTTTTTTTTTTTTTTGTACAGCGTTGCAATTGCTCGCTTTGAAATCCTTGAGTTTGTTAAACAAAAATTCGTTAAAGTTATACAAAGTAGGAAATCGATTATAAAACAAATTCCAAATGTCAAATTTGGGCTTCCACATGTCCATATTCCTAGTAGGATTAAGTCCTTCAAAATTCGATGGCTCTAAGTTCCGCTGTTTTATCACAATGCGAAAAATATACATACATTTATGCATATTTTTCATTATTTAATGTCTTCAGATATAATGCAGGAAATTTGGTGGCAACAGTCTGAAAAGTGAAACGGACATTTGTAGTGAACCAGCGCAAAATCGCAAAACGAAAACAATAGTCCTTCAGAGACAAAGCCCCTTTGGACTAAAAATGCTTCGGGACCTCTGCATGCTCTTTTTAAGTCAGTCCTCCCCTCAGTTCTATGAACTGAATTCTATCTCATATGTTCTATTCTCAGAATCGAACCAAAGAATTTGCAGCTTGCGCGCCATATATTGGATACCAAAAACAGGGAAAGAAATTGAATCCATACTCCTGATTATAATATTGTTAAGAACTAAGCTATAGAAATTACTTAAAAATCAAAGCAACGGCAATTTTCTAAACAACAACACAAATAAATTTAACAGTGAAAGAACAAGGCTTTCTAATAATTCAGAATCTCAAACAGATCCACCACACAGAACAGAAAACTCATTGAAAAGCATTCCACAATTAAAGTGTTCATAGTTAAGCCAAAAAACAATGAATTAAAAAAATTAACTGCCAAGTCAAAAAATTTAGTACAAAAGAGTTAACAGTCTAAACGTGATTAATCTCTTAAGAATGGATATCCGGAAATTAATTTAACAATTGAAACCTAAATTAAACGAGAATGAATTAAAAAAGATATGGATATTTAAACAACTGAAAATGAGCAATATAGTTTTAAAATTTTCGTTAAAGCTAAGATACGTAATTAAAAAGACTAAAAATAGAATACAGTCTGTAACTTAGAGAACCGATAGACGGTAAATTTGCGATGACGTCAGAGGGCTTGTGAGCATGTGCAACCATGACGTCACAAAATCACGTGATCCTTGACGCCATTTTTTTCCCCCCCAAACTTTTTGAGTCTGTTTTTGCTACTTTAGCTGAAAATTTTCTGGTAACACTGACAGCGTGCCGTTCGTTATGTGCGTACAGAATGTTCTACACGTCGTGCTAAAGCGTTACATGTTACAAGCATGTTCTTAATGTATCTCTTAGGATTAGCGATGATTATTATTTGTTTTATGACATTTTCTTTCTGACTGTCCAAAACGGCAAGAACTCTTTCGATTACCCTCTATTTGGATTTAATTTTAATAAAAGTAATCATTGTAAGATTTTCAGTTCATTTATGCTTGATTAAGAACGAAAAAAAAATGCAGTTAAACGACAAAGAAGAGGAAAGAAGAGAGGAATTCCGGGAAAAATTTTATACTACTTTCCGATTTATAAATATGTCCACCAGCGGCCGAGCAGTAAAGTCGCTGAACACTGGTAGTTCGGTCCGAGGTTCGAATTCCGCGAACGAATTGGCTGCATGGACGTTTTCCTAATTTTCCCCATGTGAAACATGTATACGAGCCAGTTTCCCTTGCAAAGCCATCCACGTAGGCATCTCTCCTCTTAGGCAGATAGCCCTAAATGTGCTTCACGTGATCTCTGAAGTGATGTGCGATTTTTTGCGACTTTTTTAGTCTTCTTTAGTTGAAAATTTTCTGGCAATACTGTTCCCACTTGTGTTGTATCTTCTCCATTTTCAGGAATAATTTTAAGTAAACTCCCTGTTCTTACTCAGGACTCTAGTTATGTTCGCAAAGCCAATAAGAAGAAATAGTAGTCCTGATCAGTTAAATTTTTTGACTGTAAAATATGAGCCACGGGTTCTAGCAGAGCCGAATATTTTGCAACGTGATCTCTGATGTCCTTTTTGACTTTTTGATTCCTCTTTTGCGACTTAAGTTGAAAATTTTCTGGCAACACTGGTCCCCACCCCTCTTATGCATTCGAGGCTTTTTATATTGTGTTAAACTTTCTTAGTAGCTTGAAGTGGGAACTACCGATTTTGCACTGCCATACTGAGAAGCAGGACTTAATTTCTAAAATTAGAAGTGCCGGAGCCTTCTTATTTAGGGCTCCGGGGCACTCTGTTTAGGATTATGATTTATCCCCCAAACTAAGAAGTACCGGAATCTGATTCCAGTGAGCTCCGGCGCAATTTAAGCTCTGCTCCGAAGAGATTTACAAATAGTTTTGTATCAAAAGTTTCAAAACTGTAAAGTGTTTTTGGAAAAATTAATTACGTCAAGCTGTCATTGGTTGGTCAAGCTGATTGTTGATAATTTCACAATTATTGCATGCAGGTTAACTAAAGACATAGAAATCTTAACCAGAACCACATAATTCAATCATTTTTAAAGCAGAAAATGCACAATTTAGAAACATATAATAATAAAGAAACTGAGCTCACGAAGCCGAGTGACAAATAAATTCGAATTAAATAAATTCGAATATATTTATATATATTTGGTGGGGCCGATTGCAAACAAAATGGGAGGTGCATATCTACATGTTATAGAAGTTCTGTGTACAAAATCTCAACGTTCTGAGACTACTAGTTTTGAGTTATGCTAGATACGTTCGTACATATGTACGTACAGACGCCACAAAAAAATCTCTTCAAAATTCATTTTAAATCAATTTTTATTATTTTTTGGGGGAAAAAGAGTCTTTTATTCCGTCCTTACGTACAGATATTACGCGGAAAACATCATTAAATTGCATTCGATAGCGGTCAAAATGGGTATTTTAGTTGAAAATTGATATCCAAAACTTTTCACGATTACAATACTTCAATTTTACTTCGTACAAGGAAGTAAAAAGCCAAGAAAACTGCGAAACTAAATGTCTGTCATTCTAACTCATGCTCTAAAGGTAAAAAACTTGGAATGAGGAACAAAATAGGACATATATTGTCATGATCAGATGATATTTGATTTGTAAAGAATGTAAATGCAACAAACCTTATTTATAAGTTTTTCTTCGGTAGACTTCTTGACGAACGTAGTAGTATCAGGATTCAAGAAAGGCTCCAGAAATCTCTAGAAATAAAAAAAAACCCGTCCATTTATACATACAATCGATAGATACATTAAACAAAAGACATTAAAGGCAATAAAAACGTAAATCACACAAGAACTGCTAACAAATATTACATATAAAACTCAAAGAAAAACTTTCAAATTATTTCCCTTTGCAATTAACAAATCACCTTGGTTCGAAATCAGATATAGTAACAGCAATTACAATAAAACCAAAGCTTGGAACAAAGGCATTAGTGACATCCTACACATTCGGAATTTCGCGGTTACCATTATTATATTTTACAAATTGTATTAATAATAGTATAATAATATTGTATTTTACAAACAGAAAAATAAATAAATATTTTAAAAAATCTGAAAGCTTTCAGATTTCAAATTACGCCCAAAGGGGCCTTTTTTTTAACGTTTTGTGTTGTTACCTTCATTAAATATCACGTTCTTCGCACTTAAACCATAAAATTCAGTCAATAGCAATATCGCAAGATAATTTTAAAATGAGCATAGCCTTTAGAATTTCCGACATACAGTCTTGCGCGCTGGAGATAAGAATATTTTTCCCCGTACATTGTTGCAATGGCTCGCTTTGAAATCGTTGAGTTTGTTAATAAAAATTCATTGAAGCTTTACAAAATATAAAATAGGTAATAGAGAATGAAAGAGATTCCAAATGCAGAAATAACAAAATACAGTAACCAGTATATACATTTATGCAGAATCTTACAATTATTACAATTTCTTTAATAAACACCGGGCGATTAATATTTGGGGGAACACCGTGCTTTTACGTTTTCAACGCCAAAATGCCAAAACGAAATTAACCCCTGCGGGCTAATGCTCTTGCGGGCTAAAAATTGTTTTACTGCAGTAAGAATTTAGATGATAAAAAGAAAACTACTTTTTTTTTTTTTTTTTTTTTTTTGACTGGCTATTTAGCAAAATTTTGTGAAATGAAAAATACTTGTTTTTATTGTAACTGTAAAACTGATAACAGTCTTATGTACGCTTACCTTAAAACTAATGGTACTTCTCCGATTTGCCGGCGCAAGCGATAAAGTCTACAATAATGGTACAACTTATGCCAAACGGAATATTCTCGTTGGTAACCTTTTTATGCCCCATTTCCAAAACAAGCCACAGCCATTTCTCATCAGATTGATTGTTCTTTCAATACTGGCATAAAATTAATTACATAAAATCTTTACCAGATAGTTCAGTTTTATGCCATAAGGCCATTCTCGGTAACTAAGTCAATAAGGATGCAATCACAGCGCTCACCCGAGGGCAAAAATATAGAAAAGGCAAAGGGTTAAATTCATCAGTTCTCACGAGAATGCACTAGCGAAGTAAAGCACTGCGGTTTTACATAACATCTGACCGAGTAAGCTAATCGTACGAATTGAAACAATTCTTGCATTTAAACTTCTATCACAAATTAAGATTTAATTTGAAATTAACGTAGATAATTAGTGTACCAATTAGATTTTTGCAGCGTAGTTTACATGAGATCACTTGGGGTCCCGTGATATGAACCGACAAATCAGGTTGTTGAACCATGAAAGCATAGTAAACTCTTAAATTAATGTCTTTTTACAATTTTTTTGTCTTTACTTATTGGCTTTTTACAAAATTTTAAACGATATTAAAATGCTTATGGCTTCAAAATAAAAAAATTCTTAGAACTAACATTTGTTAACATTTTTTATGCGTATACTGTATGTTGTCGCCAATAAAGTCTGCTTGGCGAGATTTGCGCCGGCGAAACGGAAAAGTACCAAAATAATAATGAAAAAAATTTGATGTGTACACCACATGACTTCCTTGTACGGAATATTAAATTATACGCATTTTTTCTTGCATTTCGTTTAAACTTATTGGATTCAATTAAATCTACTTTGCTGACAGCGCATAAACCACAATAGAAAAATTCATTCTTTAAAATTCAGTCCATTTGTTTACCATAGCGACACTCTGGCGCTAGGTTCACTTAACAGTATTATATTTCGTCCATATTATAACTCAGAATGCACAACATTTATATCATTTAAAGAATTATCTAATCATTGCCACATGTTCTATTCAAAATACTATAATAAAGCTAGAACGATGTGTAAAAGAAATTAAGCAAACAAAACAGAAAAGAAACAGTTTTTCACAGACGATTTAGTATTTCTCATTCAATTAATTCAGTTCTCACTTCGCGACAAGACAAACATACATAAAAACTCAAAATATCTGTATTAACAATTACTAATTATTAAAAATTAAATTATAAAAAATTAAGCAAATCTTAAACACTTATTTCCTCGAAAAAATTCCAGAAAGGATTAAGCATGATTTAATTCGCAATAATAAATGAAGGCGTTGTTGTTGCGAAGCTACGTTTCTCTAGATTAGCAACAAATCCACTGCTCTGCTGTTTCAAATGTAAACAAGCAATGGCCGCCATCAAAAAAATTGTTAGGCTTAGCGGCACTTAAGCAACTTTAAAATTGTTGATAATTCTAAACAATTTGCATACAAATTACCTTAACCGGAAGATAAGAACAACATAATTCAATCATTTTTATAGCAAAAAATGTACAATTTACAAACATATAAGAGTACAGAAACTGGGATCACTGAGCTGGGTAACAGAGTGGATATATATATATAAATATATTTATATACGTTTGGCGCGGCCGATTGCAATCAAAATACGAGGTGCACATCTACATGTTATAGTAGTACTATATACAAAATTTCCATGTTCTGAGGCTACTCGTTTTTGAGTTATGCGAGATTCTTACGTACGTACATACGTTCGCACAGACGCCACAAAAAATTCTCTTCAGAATTCATCTTAAATCAGTTTTATAATTTTTTTTTTTTTTTGGAGAAAAGAGTCTTTTATTCTGTCCTTACGTACAGATATCACGCAAAAACATCGTTAAATTGCATTCGATAGCGGTCAAAATGGATATTTTCGTTGAAATATGTTGCCTGAAACTTTTCGCGATTACAATACTTCCTTTTCACTTCGTACAAGGAAGTAAAAAAAAAAGCCAGAAGTGCTTGAAAATGAAGAAAGAGGTCTAACAGTTCAAACTAATGCCATTAACTAATAACTGTAGAAATGAAACTTTATATTTAATGACTTTAAATGTTTTAAAGTTAAATGATGGAGAAGCGATTTTAAGGTGCATTCTTGATACCGGATCTGAACATTCTTGTATTAGCGAACTCAGGATAAACCACAGCGAAAAGACAAGATGAGGCACAGCTTGTTGGGGGGGGGAAGGAAACGAAAACAAACAGAAAATGGCGTTTATATTTTATCGATTTTGTTATGGAAAATTCTTATGTATTATTTGGTACAATTATTATTGAGTATATATTTAAAAGATTAATATGAGGTGTTTCACTATGATTTTTGTATTAGTGGAATAATGTTTAAAATGAGATTGATATGAAAAAAAAAAAAAAAAAAAAAAAACTATAAGTAACTTTTAAAAGATTTTTGTAGGGGTAGTCTGGCCAGCTATTTTAAATTATAATGTGTGGGAATATTCAATAAATGTGTTTATAATTTTTATTGGTACTATTCGGTTTCGAAGGCCGTAAAAAATCGCCAAACTATTGTTGATGCCAATGTTGCCAAAAATAATTGCGGCAACCCTAATAATTGCGGCAAGAAAGAAAGTATAATAGTAAATAATTATCTAAGATTGATGTTTTAAATTTAGATGAAAGGTTAATTTCATAATATACTTTGTTATTATTATAATTTACATGAAAAAGGCTAAACATGACTGAATGGAAGCATAAGAGTCAATAACTATTTCAAGTCATTATTATAATTTATATAAAAATTCTTAAACGTAACTGAATGGATGCCTGCATCGCTATTTCGCTACCGACTTATCGCTAAAGCATAATTTCATCTCGTTGGTTGTTCAAACGTAATTTTCTATACTGAATGATGCCTTTTCTTTGAAAATATTCTCGGTAAAGTGCAGAATCGCTCATTTATTGGTTTGCCGCTTTTTACAAGGGTAAAAACAATTGGATTTTGTCAATTTTTCTTTTACTTTTTAAGTGAAAATAGGTCGATGTGTACATAGATAAAGTCAAGGGTGTGCGCAGTGCCATTTTTGTGCAATTCTAGCTATTCTAGGATTTTTTTTTAAGTGAAAATAGGTCGATGTGCACATGGATACCGAGTATGTGCAATTCTTAAAAACGCGTCAAGCAGTGAGGGATTCTGCACTTTACCAAAAATTCTATCGCCGACTTTTCGTCATGGGCAATCCCCAAATCGTTAAATCCATAGGATATCAAAAAAGGATTTAAAAATTAAACTAGTATTTCAATGGCATCTTAGGAAATATAGAACTATATAAACTTACGCAATCTGAAATCAGCGCACACGCTAGATTTGGCACGCTGTTAAATGTGCGCATTTGCTAGATTTGGCGCTTTTGCGCATACATTTTCGCTGCAATTTTTTACGGTTCTAGAAACAGAATAGTACCTTTTTATTATTGTATGTTTCTTTGAGTTAAATTGTGGTCTACTGTAAGTCACCCATGTGATCCTTACGGAACATGGTTATTCTAGCCAACCTAGGTAACCATATTGCGGTAGTAGAAAATAAAAATCAGTTTTTAAGTGTTAGTGACTATACGATCGGTTACTTAATTTATTTTGATTTTGACGAGTAGACTTCTTAAGTGTGAGATGTATCTTTCCTTGGTGTTTTGAAGAGTTCTGTGTTGCATTTTAAATGTTGTGTTTTAGAGCTATCTCTAGATTTGTATTGAAATTTATGTGTTTTCAGGTTAGAGATCTGAATTAGCTTTATTTTAGTGAGAGATAGCGTGTTAAAGATTTTGTTGTGGAAGTGCATTTAACATTTTGGTTTTGATAAATAATCGTTATTTTACCAAAGCACCAGGTAGGATATTTTCTTTGATTTCTCTTTGATTTTAAAGTGTTAAGATTTTGAATCTGAGAGAACT